TCTTTATTACGCCGTCTCCTTTACAGGAGGTTGGCGACATTATGAACAGGATCCTTCCCTCCTTTTCTCGGCCTGGGACCTGTTCATATACGTTCTTGGCAGATGATCCAGGAGTGGTTTGCCATTGCCTTCTTCTGTGTGTGTGAATGGAGTAATTGTTGGGATGCCATGGAGGAAAACTCCGTGTTGCCTAGACCACGGCCTTGCCCAACACAAGTTATAAATTCGGGCACCGCCGGGAATCGAACCCGAGACCCCAGGATTACAAGGCCTGCGTTCTAACGGCTAGATCACCGTGGCGTTCAATTTCACTACCAACAAATATTGACAGTAAAAGAAGCATAGACGAGGATCCACAAAGTTCTGCAGATAGGGTCCGCACATTGGCAAAGAAACCACTGACCTCCTCGCGTATCACAGCGGTTCAAGATAGACCTCGAAAATCGACAATTGTCTTTAGTTTGCGTCCTACATTTCAATGCAGATAAAGTTTAAATCCCCTTAATAGAGAACACGACTTATTTAACTGTCAATGCGGAGAATAAGTCGGATAATGTTTTTGTTACCTACAGACAGAACAGGCCCGTAATAACAATCGAACAGCAGGATATAACAAGAGGTCCGCTAATCACAGTTTTCACACCAGTAACTTTCAGGTATTTCCTTGCGCACCTACACCACCCCTCATACGCTGGTAGTTGCTTTAACTGGAAGTTTCGGTCAATTTGCAAGGGACTGGAGGCAGCCACGAGCAGACGATCGTGACACACGTGGTTACTATTCTCGTAATCGACATAAAAATAGGGTGCTCTCGCAGAGACAGAATTGGTACCAAAGGCGCAACCCCCAAAATGTAGTGCACCGAAAGGAGGTACAGTCGGGAAAGGAAAGATGGACAAACGCGAGTCGTCGTCAATAAACGTACGGGTTGTAACCGAAGAAATCAGATGAACCCCTTGAAGTCAGCTTCAGCCCCAGCGCTCGAAGCCAATATTCTACGAAATTCAAAGAAATTA